ATTTCTGACAATGGATAACCAGTAAAAAAAAGATTGAAAAGATTACTTTACCTTTGATTTTTCTTCAAATTTTCAAAATGTAACATTGTGGAGAAAACTGACCAAATGCCTTTTAGGTGGAACACACCGGCTTAGGACGTTATGAAAAAGGAGATCTCTTGTAGGTTTCTCCCCTCCACTCAACCTGTATTGGCCAACACGCCATCTTTGAAGGTTTCTCCCCTCCACTCCGACCCCCTGTTTTGTCTCTTGAAAGGACTAACAAAAAAAAGGGAAGAAAATGGCAATTACAAGGCAATAACACACCTTCCCAGAGTGCTTTGTGTCCAGAAGGGCTATTTCTTATTAATACTTGCTTGTACCTCTATACAACGCTGTAAAAATGTTGTTATTACCGTATTGTCAGCAATACAAAGAAAAGCTGTTAATTATATATAACAGGACACAGAGAGAAAATTCAATAGTCAACTAATGTAATGAATAAAACCCGAGCAGTAATTCTGATGAAAACGCTGTTGCAGTCGGGATTTTAAAAGGACAAAGCATGAGTAAGATCCTGTGAAGACCCAGTTGACACAAAGCATTACGAATGGGGGTATATTGATTTCATCCTATAAATAATTGTTTTAGGTAGTCTGAAAATACAATTTGAAACTACATAAAATAGATATACAAGCGGCATAATATTCTCTGAAAGACTGAAACTCATTAGATTTTCATACAGTTTTCAATCTCACGGGAGGAAAAAAGACAACTTCTTGCATGGCCACGTTAAAAGTATATAAAAAGGAAAGAAAAGATGAATCACAAATCTGTGACGAGAAGGCTGATTTGATTCTGTTAAAGTTTCTCCGAGCCAGGGATTTCAGGGTCTTGGACGCCCTCATCATGTTGGAGAAATGTTTAGCCTAGGGATAAGAGTAGAACATTTGTGACAAGGATTTGATGTCTAAGGAGCTTGAAGGCGTGGTGGCTTACATCCATGCTTGCGACAAGGCCATCCCGTTTGTTATAATTCTTACAGGGTCTTCAAAGATCAGAACTCTATATCTCCGCCCAAATCTGCTACTTCTACTTTAGATCCCCCAAATCTGAAGTCATCACAATTTTTTGTGTTTCTAAGACTCTTTTCACCTGTTGTGTTCTCACCTGAAATCAACCAACAATAGTAGAAAGAAAAGAAAAAATCTAATTTTTTGGAGTTCTTTTATTAGTAAGTTAGGTTTTATTTTAAAAATTTAAAGAACAATGAAGAGCAAAATTGACCACAAAAGAATAATTTTGGAATTAAGAATATTACATGTGAATGGATTGTAATGGCACACTAACGATAGGAGAGGATTTTGTCCGTTGTCAGAAAATTTGAGGGTTTTTAAGTCATTTTTCAAACAATAAGGTAGGCTTTTGTCCATTTTCTAAACCATAGGGGTACTTTGAGTACTTAACACTAAAATTAATTTTACTAATCTTTAGAGTAAGATAGTAAAACTAAGTTATTTAATTTATTTTAATTAATAAGTTATCCATGTAAAATAAGTTGATTTTTAATCTCCCTTATTTATATTTTTTGTTACTTTTTTATTTTTAATATTTTAGAAAAAATTCCCTTATTTTATCGATTTTTCCTATTAATTAACAAAATTGTTGATATTTTTTTGTTATCTTTCTTTACTTTTTTTATTTTTTATATTTTCTAATTAATACATTATTTTTAGTGAAAATTCTCTTATTTACTCTTTTTATTTTCAAAATTGCATAACTAATTGAATGGATCAAACCAAATCCATCTAGCTTAATATGAATTGGTAATTGAAGCTAGCGGGTTCAACAATTTCTAGGTATTGAAATAACCAAACCCATGAATTTTGTCTACTTGATGCATAGCGATTTTTGGGCCCTCTAGTTGAACGGATCAAACCAAATTCGTCCAGCTTAGTATGAGTGGGTAATTGAAGCTAGCAGGTCGAATGATTTTTAGGTATTCAAATAACCCAACCCTTGAACTTTGTTTGCTTGATGCATAGCTATTTTTGGGCCCTTGGTTCATTTGTTCTTTTGCTTTCCTTTTCCCTTGGAAAATTACAAGAAAAGTTTGCAAAACAACCTAATCCATTTGATTTACCACTCAACTCTTCTAAAACTTAAGTTTGCCACAACAAAGTTATAAGACATAGGAAACAATTCACGTTCACAAAAAATAATTTTAGAAAAATAGTAGTTAGATTTTCACATAATTTATATACAAAGTGAATTTTTAACAGATCTTTTTTAAATATATAGTAGAAAAATATTTTATTAAAACTATAATTAATAGTGAAATTAATATTTTAACAAAGCATGCTAATTAATAGTGTTTCTAATATTAATTTTCAAGACATATTTTCTAAAAATTTATATAGCAGATTTGGCAGACCAAACCCAATCATAAAGATGACAATTTATTCCCATTGAACCAGGTTCTCGCCCTTGCCCCAAATGGGATAGATTTTCCCTAGGAATGGCAATAGAATAGGTTTAGGGTGGGGCACCCCATCCTCGTCCTTGTCTAGTAGCTAAAATCCCCTACCTCATCCCCACCACCATCCCACCCTACCCCTAGTGGCAAGACGGGTTAAAGGTGGGGCACCCCTTCCCATTGGGGATAGGGAATCCTCGAATTTTTCTTAACCGGAGGCAACCACATAAAAATGCATCAAATTTTGGGAGTATTTTAAAAACGAGTTTATAGAAATTTGGGGATACTTTAGAAATGAGATTATTGGATCCTTGGTTTTTGGAAATTTCAGGGAATTCAAGGGTAATTTAGAAATTAATATTAAAATTAAGGATATTTTAATAATTTACCATCGGATTTGAGGAATTATATGTAAAGCTTGTCCCACATTGTTCTTGATTTGAGGTAAAGAAATTTTCCTCGTCCCTATTAAGATTAGGGAAACTCGCCCAATTTGGGGTGGAGTGGGGCGGGGTAAGGCCCTAGTTTTATGGGGAAAGTTGTCATCCCTAGATTTCCTTGATCTTAAACAAGGACAAGGCAGGTATGGGAAGACATTTTTGCCCTGAATTGGGGATGGTGTTGGCATATAACTCTTCAAGCCCATTTGAATCTAGTGGTAAATTATTAAATACCCCTAGGTTTATTATTAATTTCTAAAATGTCCCCAAGCTTACCACAAATTCCCAAAAGCTTAGGATTCCATAATCTCATTTCTAAAAGACCCCTAAATTCCCATAATTTCATATTAAAATACCCCAAATTTCCCATGATCCCATTACTAAAATACCCCTAAATTTTGATGTATTTTTAGGTGGTTGCCTTGGGGTGAGGAAAATTTAGAATTCCCCACTGGTGCCCCACTCCGAACTCAGCCTGCCATTAGGGATGGGGCGGGATGGGAAGGGGGTGTCCCACCCCAAACCCGCCCTGTTGCCATTCATCAATCAAAACTCTTTTCAAATTGGTAACTGAAAATTTATATTTTCTTGACCTTTCTTTCTATAGTATTTGCCAAATTTCAGCATCAACACAAAATAGTGATATATGGAGCCAAAAACGTCCCATGGAGATAGATAGATTTTATAATGACAATATTAAAATATTATTTATAATTATAATGATATTTTTAATTAATTATTAAATTTCATTACTTTACTTTTATTATTTGCCTTGTTATATTATCTATTTTTTTTCTCTTATTAGTATTTTAGATATTTTTTTACTCATCTTGCTTCAATATTTAAGTTATAACTTATATTATTTTCAAAAAAAGTTTTAACTTAAACAATAATGTTTTAATACATTGATGAAAAATAAAATATATGTATTGGAAGGTGGATATATATATAAAGAGAGAGAGAGAGAGAGAGAGAGAGAGAGAGAGAGATTTTAGGAATATTTTTAAGATTTGATTTAAATTGTTGAGAGGAAGGATGACATGAGGTAATAAGATAGGCTAAACCCTTGATAATTTGACTTAATGAGAGGGGTGGAAAGGGGAAAGGAGAAAAAGTTAGGAAGAAAGCAAGAGAGCGCCTTTGGAAAAAAGAGATGCTGATGTTTGGTAAATTGCTGAAACCCTTGGTGATTGCTTTGCTTTATATATAGGGTAAATTGCTGAAACCTCCCCTAAAGTTTCTAACCATTACTAAAACCTCTCCTGAAATTTCCTAAACTTTTTGATGCAGTTGCAAGTAGACCCCTTCTCTTAAAATCCTCTAACAAGAGGCATGAAGTGATAGTCCCCATAACACCTCCGCGGACCATAAGTCCATAACCACTACTGGCAGTGAGATGTTGTCATCACCTCTTTGGGGGTCATTAGACCTGCATTTCCTAGTAAGCATACGACAACTTCAACTTCTCCGTCTAGGGGAATATGCCCAGTCCACTAATAAGGAATGCAGCAGCAGTCCACTAATTAGGTTGTATTTGGTTTGAAAGAGAAGGTAGGGAAAGGCAGGGAAACCTTAACAAATCTTGTATAGGTTTCCCTGCCTTTCGCTTCCTTTCCCTACCTTTTCTTTCAAACCAAACATAACCTAAATGCTTAGTTTTTCTGTTGATGTTTGGAAATGGATGATGCGGGAGAACCAGATTGTTGATGCACATCTGTTGAGGCTTCTATATAACTGCCACTTGCAGTAATGGTTTGTAAATGCTAGAGCAGAGGCTTCCTTGTTGCAGAGGTTGACTGCAGATGTATGGAATTCTGAATTTTGATTATCTATTTGAATCTTCTTCCTTGTCTCACTAAAGTGGTTTAGTGAAACCACAGGGGTATATTTAAGTAATTTGTCCTACTCCTATCTTAGAATTACCTTTCTGATATTCTTTGTGATACTGATACTTTGAACCTTGTCTATATGTATGGAGCAAACTACCCGTCCCAAAGCCTCACCTTGGCAAATCAACTTGGTTTCCCATTTTCTTTTTTCTCACCCACCTTTTGAACTTGAATATTTTCTCACTGATTTAGACCGTACATACCATTAAGAAAACCTGAAAAAATTAGCCCATTTATAATAGAAATAATTTGAAAATGTCTATAGACAAACCACTAAAAAATGAGGAATTTACAGTGCAGCTTTGAACCAACTTCAGATTTTATTCCAACGCATCTCTATGTGTATCACTCCATTCTTTGAATTGATTAGATGGTATTTCTCATTGGTGCGTCCATTGTTCACAACATCAGTAAGATTGATGTGCACATGTCCCAAAGATTCCTGCATTACACATAAAAATATTTTAAGCCTAAAATATTGTGAAGGATGGAGAGAAACTAAAGCACTCTTCTTGTGGATCAGTGCAAAGAGAAGAATGGATATTTTTTTTATTGGTAGCTTGTCATATTTTATTAATTAATGATAAAAAACCATAAATCCCAAACAATCCTTTAAGCTGCCTTGCTGGCTTACCCTGTATTACTTTTCAAGTTATACATTCTAGTTATCCCTTGCTTGGCTAAGGCATCTGCCAAGCTTTTGGCAGATCTATGAACTTATATATCTTGGGCTCTCTTAAAATATGTCTAAACTGCCGTGGACCCTACATATACTTCTTAGCCATCCCAGAACAACACGGCAGCCACCTTCCACTAACATGTCACTAAGATTCAGTAACTTCCCCATTTCCAGTCGTTGGTGAGTAATGTGCTAAGATCAACCCACTGCTCTTCCAAATTACAACATCATCACCAATACCTGAAGGCCACGGATTTCCCACACAACTTCCATCAAAGTTCAGTTTGAGTTGTTGCTGCATTGAAATTTATCAAGTAAAAAAAAAAAAAAAAGAAATTGTTGCTGCTTTAGGGGTGGGGTGGGCGTAGGGTGGTATCTGCAAGTTTCTGGATTCTACTACTTGGATTCAATTCTGCAGTAGAGCAGAATTTCAAAACTAGAGGATTTTAACTCTCCCAATAATAGCAAAGATTATTTAATCCCAGAAGATGGTAACATATGGAGGTAAGCTAGAACATTGTAGCTGTTCTTTACTTTGTGCACAAACAAACATAGAAATCTCTCTCTCTCTCTCTCTCTCCCTTGAGTTTCCAGATTCACTATACCAGTCCAATTCTGCAGCAGAGAAGATTTTGGAGAATAGCTGATTTAAAATCTTTAGTTCGTTGTGTTTTTTTCTTTTTTTTTTTTTTTTTTTGGGGGGGGGGGTACTTCAATTATTTGAATTCCTAAAAATTGGGGAAGAAACAGAATTGATGCCTATTCTATGCTCTCTGATTCAAATCACAGCCTAAATGTAAATAGATGGTGATCTTACCTTTCTTCTGAAGCCAATGCCTGTCTGCTTACTAATAACTTCAATATAAATCTTTTCATTTAATGGAGCCTCATCTAGCATGAACTGGAATTCTTCATTCCAATATGGGTCTCGAGTTTTCTTCTTCAGCTGGAGAAAACATGATAAATAGAGGTTGTTAAGAAATGACAGAAGAAAAGATCACTTGAAAACTGTATAAATACTTAATAAGAAAAAAAAATCTATAAATAATTGCAAGAAGAAAGAGGTAGAGCTAAATGCATGCATACATGCAATGTAAATATGTGCATGGAACATGGAATTAAAAATCAACATTGGCTTTGATACACCTAAATAACATTTGAAATGCCAAGAACCAACTGGCTGAAATCTTCACACACAAAAGCCAAATTCCTCCAAAGTTGCATTGCAACAATGCTTAGTTGACTAGATTGGCTGAAATTACTGTTATACAATGGTTGAATCATTTGATAAACTAAGCTAACAATCCTCAAGTCAACAAATATTATCAATGACTTAGCCATGATTAACTATTGAACTGCAAACAAGACTCATAAAACCAAGTCCAAGTTTGAGCATGAAATTTCACCTTAGTTTTCTTCTTCTCTCCTTTATAAAGGACCATAGCATAAGGGTTATTGTGATGCTTTCCCTCAACATCGTTGGCACCATGGACTATAACTAAAAGCAACCCTGCCTCACTGAAGTGAACGTCTTCATATAACATACTGGTATCACTTTCCTTCCTGCTATATATATCCAGATGCCCACTAAATCTGTTATTGTCTTCTTTGAAAGGATTGAACGTCAGCACAACCATAATTTTCCCTCTTTGCTTCTTGTTTTGAGGATCATTTGGATTTGTGTTCTTGAGAAGATCAAGAGTAAATTCTTTTGCCTCATGTGGAACCAATGATCTCAGGGGAACTACTTGCATCCCTAATTTGTCATGTGTCCCAACCTGTTGAACCAGAATATGAAATTCAATCCTCTCCAAAATTAGCTGATTGAATCCTGTCTGTTTGGGTCCTGATCCAAATCTAGACTTTAAGTTCCTTCACAAAGCAGGATCACCTTCAGCAATTTTAAGGTGAAAACTGAAGATAGCTTTTGAATTAAGTTAATCAACAAGCGTTTTGTTTTTTTCTAACATCATTATAATAAAGAAGCAAAACAACATAGAAGTTCAGGAAACAGATGTGATAACCTTGTCCCAGTCATAGACATGTAATTGAAGGACTTGAGACTCAGGATCTTTCACAATAAGTTTAAAAGCCTCGTTCCACTCAGGATTTAAGTTCCTCATCTTGACTGTGGTTTTCTTTGCTGGAAGCCTTTCACCACTCAATCTGAGTTTAACATATGGATCAGATGTTCCCAAGAAATCCATCTTCATGAGCTTGAGAGCCCGTACAACCCTCACATGTAATATGCCAACAGGCTTATTTGCTGCCCCTCTATCAAAAAAAGAATAATCTTAATAATAAGAAAGGAAGTTCTAAAACAAAAGGTTTTATCATTAGTTTCTCATAGAGATAAAAATCAGTGGAACCAGTGCCATCACATAGCTTCAGATCCAGATTGACAGTACATAACTCTTCTCTAGATGATGTTCAAAATTATCGATTTGGCTCACAAAAATGGTTTTATTTTCCTGAGTTTAAAAATTTGGTCTTAATACAAAATTCTCAACCTTTCTATATGATCATAAGTAATGTTTCTAAAACATGGATGCATGAGGTAAAGCACTAGGATCTTCTGATGTGAGAGGCACAAGCCTGAAGGTGCAAGGGTTAAGCTTCATGAGATCTCATTATTTCAAAAATATGTGAACTAAAATGAGAAGCCTAGAACTATGCAAAAAGGATTATATCTTTATATAAGAAGAATGTATATAAGAATTAATCATCATATAAACAATTGGATTTTAGGTAGTTCTTGTGCAGAGAATCCTACTTAAACCAATGTATGAAATACATGCTCTTGAGGCTCATCCCTAAAAGTCAGAGATGAGTGGTCCAATGCATGCGCAATTTACTCTTAAGCCTTACATTCTTTCTAAAGCATTGATTAGATGAATTTAGTTTGGAATTCCATTTCTTCATGAATGAAAAAAGCTCAATCAACGAAGTTGTTGTATACTTTTAATATCAACTTATTCAACATATGAATCACCCAGACTATATCAACTGAATACTCAAAGCTTACATTGAACCATCAAGAATGGAGATTTCAAGGATTTGGGGCCACAGATAGAGGATTGCAATTTGTTTTTTAATAATTTCCTGCAAGAAACAATAAATGCTTGAACATAATTAGTTCATCTATAAAACACAGACAGGGAGACGAGTTTATATTTGACTAGTGTAAGAGCACGTTTGCTAGTTAACATTAATTATATACAATACATTGTATTTGAATTTAACTTTTATGACCTGCACCAAAACCAAAGCAAGTATCCGCTTTATATGGTATAGATATATTTGATATTTATCACCAAAATAAATTATGAATTACATAGATTTCAAAATCCTAATGGAATGGTTTTGAAGAAAAATGATCTTGTACAGAATCTACAGATACGCAATTAAGAATTTTCAACATATGATTATAGTATTTAGTTAAAGGTCTCTGGACACGTAAATTAATATTATTAGCATTAAAACTTTTACAATTTTTATTGCATTACTTGTTAAGTAGTGCTGCTGCTTTTCAAAAAAAGTTCCTTCAACCGAACATCTAGAATTGTTTTCAGTCACCAGCCAAATATGTCAAGACTGGTTACAATCCCAACCTAAACCTAACAAAACATTTCTGCATTACCTGAACAAAATGATAAAAGCCAGGGATGGCCATGATATCACCTCCTAGCACTTTCATTCCGAAGTCCACATGGGGCTGCAGTTATATAAGAGAAGATCATCATAAGTTTATCTGCCTTTGAAAATAAAAATTGCAATTCGATGTAAGTCAGAAAAGGATAAAAAATATATTAGATGGATTGTTGGGTGAGGGGTGCAGTGAGTATCTACTCTGAAGAGTTGGGAAGGTTATTAGCACGCTTGTGATAGAACTTCAAAGTAGATCAAAAGAGCAAGTGCTGAGTCTACTTTTCGAATTTATGGTTATTGTTCATCACTTACCTTCTCCATCAAAGACAAAATTATGCTTGAAAAGCATGGAAAGGTTGGCACGAGAGGCTTCAAAGTTATGCGTGGTGTAGCAAATATTTGTATATCCACCAACTGACAAGTAACAACAAGCTTAACCAATATTTTAGGTAAATCATCCTTGTACTGAAACTGAAAACACACAATTGCCAGCTTTTCTAACCTGCACAGTGATTTGTAAAGACAACAATTTTAGCACCAGAGTTATGTTGCAATTGCCAGCCCATCTAACTGCAGGTTCAATGACAAGTGCATTCTCATTGGTTTCATATACTTTAATCCCTGCAAGATAAAAAATTAATATTCAATTTAATATAATCTTGTTATTAACAAAAAATGAAATTAACACATAAAAGCAGCTAACCAATGTGATGCATGTGGAATGCAATGCAGAATGTGTGTGCATATGGGTACTCCCTATTACTATTTACTCTTAAAGGCTCAAACTCTTTGTATATATGCACCTAGGACTAGGAACCATGAATAGAAGGTTCCACAGACATGAATTTTCTAACATACAACTCCATTGTTGGAAACCTACAGTTCACAGGTAGTTAATGAGATCATCTTGTGTAGTTAAATTGTAATTTATATTATCCTTGTAGATTATGTGCTCAAAATTTTCTCTTGTCCCTAGATGAAATTTAACTCAATAGGAGTATTATTTAAAAATGTGTTAATTTCAAAACATCACCTGTAAGAAGAGAAAATCTGTTACAAATTAAAGAGGCTAGAAGAGCTAGGGCTAGACCAAAAAGGAAATAGGTTGAATAGTAAGAAATGAAGGGCTCACAATTTAACAATGGACATGGCACTAAACAGAACCGAATGGTGAAACAAGATTCATGTAGCTGAGCCCATATAGTTAGGACAAGGCTATGATGATTATGTGTTCATCACAAAAGGCTTGATCAAGGGCTTAAGGAAAGTTAACAAAAAATAAATGTAAGAAATGCAGGCTTTAAATAAACTGATAGCCTCCCTATGGCGTAAACTTTAGCCAACTTTGGTGATGGCATTTTTACCAATCTGTGTACCTGCCTGCATAATCAGTTGCATGATGCATCTTAAGAGACAATAAGGTATAACCCAAAAACAGAGGATAGTCTGGATAGAACATGGCCAGAAGTTTGGTTTTAAATAGAAGTGTTCACGGAAGTGAACAAAGGAGACCTACTCAATTTTTGTGATTAGGTGAAGCTTGGACCTTACCATGAATAATAGGAGGAAGAGTTCCCAGAGTTAGAGTTTCAAATTCAATTGATTGTATCTGAAATTTCCCAATGTACTCTGCAAATATTGGCGCTGCCATGCATCTTATTGTTCTACATATTGCCTGAGCAGGACAACAGAATTGACAGAAATGTAGAGACAATCAAAAGACTCTGATAAGGCACTCAGATGGGTAATAGTATTTTTTCAACATGAGATTCTGACAAACTTAGAAATTAGAATCACCTTATTCAGGTAGGGCCACATATAAAAAATGAACCTGTTCATCCAATCGACCTGAAAATTCCAAAGAAGAATACTATCTCACCAAAAGATGAGGAAGAAGGAGGCCCTCCTTACAGGAAAGAGGGGGAAAATCTAGCTTGAAACCAACTTAACTTGTTCTGTTATACTCACTCGATCATAGTCAGGACTCTTCACCCATAGTGGAATCTCGGATAGCACATCATCCAAAGCATTTGAATCTAATTCACTAAGTGTCCTAATAATTGGATCCTGCAAAAGTGAGCACCAAAAGAAGGCTTACAACTCAAAAGTTAATGAAAGATCACGAAATTTCAGATATAATCCTTCTTGAACAATAACATAATAAGGTGACAAGTTGCAAATATCAGGGGACTCAAAATATAATAAACGAAATTCCCTGCAATCTACATAGAAAAAGAAAAAACAGAAACAGAAAACCAAGCAGAAAAAGAAAAATGAAGTACTCCCGAAACTATTATAGACAAACCAATAGAAGCAAACTGAAAATTCAACCGTTGCATATAAACAATACAGTAAAGAAAGCACTTGTTCATTGATGTTGTGTTCGGATGACAAGTGGACATCTTTATTTCAGATTGTTAAGAATGAATGGAAAGGAGCCCAGTGCTTGAAATCCTGAGATGTGCTCTAAACCTTAATGGGAAACCCAATGCAATCATTCATCCAGACCACTTTACAATGTCTCATCAAATATTGCAACAGGTGATCAAGACATTTTTGAGTATGAACAGAAATCACCTTCACATCTCTGGGCTCGAAGTAGATGAACAGAAAGTAACCCACCAAAAGCCCAACCGGAATCCCGATTCCGAAACCGAGAATACCCAATAAACTACTAAGAAATCCCATTTCTTAAACACCCAAACAGAAAGGATTGCATGGGGAGAAATAAAATCAAGAGCAGATGCAGATTGCAGAAGCAGAAGAAGAAACGAAAAGCGGGAAAGGCAGCGAAGGCCTGCAAGTAGAAGAGCGACTGACGTTGCCAAAACGAAGTCCCAATCAAACCCAAACTCTCTTCTATTCTAGACTTCTTACCAGAAAGAAAAAACCGCCAAACCAGTGTGCTTGACTGCTTGTGTCTGGATTTTCAGTTTTTTCACCATTTGGCCCCAGAATCTCGTTTTTGTCACCAAAACTACGAATATGCCGTTGAGTAAAAATGACGTAAAAATACCAAACTCGTTCAAGGCAAAAAACGTCCCGATTCTAGAAAGCAATTTCTTTAGAGACAACGCGCTACAGACATGGTGGTGTTTAACAGCTTTAAGCATCTATGTTAATTTCATTTGTCATATTTAATTTCCTTCTCCTTTCGTTATTATTATGGTTTTTTGTAAAGATAAAGATCCCCTTTCGTTATTAAATGCAAGCGGGGTTCGCACAGAAATTAAGGAATCGTAGCACGATTGTTCACACGAATCACACCCTCCGTGTCTTTTAGCAAGTTGCAGGCATGCAGGTGGATCAATTCGTTCAAATGTGAACCATAGCAGTCCAGTTTTGATGAACCCGGTTCACTACATCATATGTCCCCCGGTTGGACTTGGAAGTCCAACTGTTCTGGTTCGAAGCATCCATACTCTTTCTATTTAACAATTGATATTTTTTTTATTGAGTTTGACAAATTCACAGGATGGCTGTTAGCCCCCGTTTGAGAGTGCTTATATTTAAGCAATTATCGGAAAAATTGCTTATTTTAGATCGGAACCACACCAATAAAAACTTACATGTAAATCCCAATAAGTGTTTTTTTTTTTTTTATGAAATAATCCTGTTTTGAATAAAATCAAAACTTTGCCTTTTTTTAATTTTTAAAATAAAGTATTTATTGCATTTCCAGCTTGTCTTGGCCCATAATTTTCAAAATACCTATATATTACTCCATTTGAAAGAAGTATTTTTTCACCAAACACTTGTAATCACTTATTTATGCACTAATGTTTAATTTAAACCTATTAAAAGGCGCACTAACTCTCCGTGTTTTTGATGACCCTCAGAATGATACATTGAACCATGGTCATAACTCTCAACCCATCCAAAATTGCGGTTTGGATAAAGCCAGTGTACAATGTATAGTTCGACTCTCATACGAGATCTGGCCTCGAAATTTTTAGTGCCATATCTTTGACAAATGGAATCGGTCGAATCCTTTGACTATTATTATTAGCATTTAAATAAAGCAAAATGCAATATATGCTCAAACACTTTTCTCTTTTTGGTACCGATTATACCTTGATTATTATTTTAGGTAGTCCCTACACTTCTTTTCCTTTTTTTCTTTTTTTTTGTAATGGAGTCCCTAGACTTCGAATTGCAAAACTTCTTTGTGAAGTAACAGATTCAAATTTGCAAAGCAAATTACCTTTTTTTTTTTTTTTCTTTCTTGGTAGGTATAAAGCAAAATAATTTAACTATAATTTATATAGACTAAAACAGGTTGAACGCGAACCTAGTTGCACTTGCACCATATGGTTTAATTCTTTTTGTTTTTTATGGGATTGATACAACATGTAGATCAAAAACTCTGAGTGATGCATAATCAAGGTAAAAGATTCTAATCAAACGATTTTTTAGTAGAGTTTCTAAGATTTCAAGTCATCTTTGGCTTTTTGCAATGGAAAAAGATGTCTTCGGGACATAACATCAAAGAAAGAAAACATTCTTTATCCTCATCTGTTGTTTTTTTTTTCAATGAGTAGGTGAACAAAAACAAAAATATGTATTGTCGTCACTGTCGACTTCCCCAATAAGTCTCTGGACTCTCTACTCCTGGAGAAGGACGCAGTCCGGTCCGCACTTCATATCTGGCCCGAGTCTCTACTGGTGGTGGACATATGCAGATATGCATTGCAAAGACTCGCAACGCACAAAAGGTTGTAACGTCTGTGGGTGTTGAGTGTTGACGTGCATTGTGGATTTCTCCCCACAACGCTCTACCCACACTTTACTTGTCTCGAATTGTAGCCGCACATCATCATCTTGTATTGTGAGATGTGCAGCTGTATAGAGCGTGGGTAGAAAATTTGGGTTCTTTGATGCAATTATCTCAGGGCTAAAGCTAACTGATCTACGCAATTGGCAAAAGAGCAAAATAGGAGTAGGTAGGCTCTATTAGTTTGTTCTTAATGACTCTTATCTCTTATCTTTTAGGGGTTGTTAGTTTTTAGGATTTGAGAGGGGGAAAGTTGGTCAATCGGATTATGATTCCATTAACCAAGAAACCCATTTCTTTTTTCTGAATCAAGGAAAGTTTAGATTTTTTGGTGTAAGTGGTACCCATCTTTTAGGTGGGTAAATCAACTTTAAAGCCATGTTCGCTTTTCGGTAAGTTACTTACCCAGATAAATGTAATTATCTAGGTAAGTTTTTCTTGGAAAACACTTATATAAATAAGTGTATTTACCCATGTTCTTTTATTTCTCAAGTAAAAAAGGAAATGATCATTTTAACCATAAAAAATCATTATTAAAAGGGGTATTTTTGTCTCATTCAAGTGTTGAAAACTTTCCCCTTGATGGGAAAGTTATTTACCCACCTAGGAGATGGATAATAAACTTTCCCCAGTTCACATGTTATTCTGAAAAAAAAACATGGGATTCTTGGTCAATAGGAACTAAAATCCCATTGAGCAACTTCCCCCCCCCCCCCTCAAAATCTAAAAAAAAAGAATGCCCCCTAAGTTGCCAACACTTAGATGGGACAAAAATACCCCTTTTGATAATGAAATTTTTATAGCTAAAATGGTCATTATTTTACTTACCTGAAAAATAAAAGAACATGAGTAAATGCAATTACCCGGGTAAGTAACTTATCAAAAAGCGAACGGGGCCTTAATACTTTTAAGAGGCATTAAATGCGTTTCATTCCCATTTTATGTACATTACATCATGTAATGCTCACTTTTGTCACTCCTTTCACATATGCTATAATGAGTTGATGACTCTATGCAACAACAATAACAACAACAACAACAACAACAATAATAATAATCTTTATTATTATTATTATTATTAATTATGATTTTAATTTTGGGCAAATCTATTAAAGTACCTCTAAGTTTTAGGAAATTGATTTACTCTACACCTACTATTAGAAATTTCCTTAAAGTACCCCTTTTGTCAATAGTTAGAAAACTTGGGGGTAATTTATGGTCATTTTTAAATAGTAGGGGTAGAGTAAGTCAATTTAACTTACTAAAACTTAGAGGTACTTTAAGTTAACTATTTATAAAAATTAAATATTATTTTAATTATTGATTAATAATAATAATAATTAAATTAATACTTAACTAATAATTATGTAAATATTTATTTTATATACATTTAATTAATGTTCATTTTCTTAAAAATATTTAATAATTTATATTTTTTATTAATCGCACTATTTATTAATAATTTTATATTTAGAGTAGTTAAACAAACCATCTCATTTCAAGGTTAAAATGGCCAATTGTCAGTTTTCAAAACTCAACATTCAAATTTTAGACCAATATTCTTTACATTTAGACTTGAGGACTAAGAATAGTTCACCAACTCCACAACTCCAATACACCTCTAAAAATAATTATAATAGTTTTAGAAGCATTTAGATGTTAGACTTTAGTGCAAACAAACAAATTCATAGTTTAACATAGCTAAGTCATTTCAATTTTCACCCTTGCCACATACACACATTTTGAGACACACTAGTAGACAACTTTGTAGGGGCCCTATGGTTAGGGGTAGGGTGCAACTTGGGTGGACCCAACCCAAGCCCAAACACTAGCTTGCAATTTTACACAGGCTAGGCTTGGGCCAAAAAATTTGAGCTTTTTATTTTTCGGTCTCGACCTGTGCCTAGATCTTAGGTGGTCCAAACCCAACTTGAGATCAATTATGTACATTGCATATGGACACATATTAGTCTGTATACACACATATATACATACTAGTAAGTTTGCACATGATAATTTTAGATGATAATGATGATGATAATGATAATTGATGTAACCGTTTTTGGTCACGTACCATTTTTTGTGATGTATAAATTTTTTGGCTAAGTACCTCGTTGTTTGACCCGGTGGTGACATGCCATGGTGATGAGCTACTTGGTGGCGAACTCCCTAGGGGAGAACTACTTGGTGACGAACTGCCTGGTGGTGCTCCTTGGTGGCAAACTGCCTGGGGGCGAACTGCCTGGGGGCGAACTGCCTAGTGGTGAACTGCCTGGTGGCGAACTGCTTGATGGCGAACTGCCAGGTGGCGAGCTGCCTGGTGGCGAACTGCCAGGTGGCGAGCTGCCTGGTGGCGAACTGCCTGGTGGTGAACTGCCTGGTAGTTCTCCCTAGTGGCGAACTGCCTGATGGAGAACTGCTTGGTGGCGAACTGCCTGATGGCGAACTCGTCACTTGACTTGCTCCTAGGCGGTCTGCAACTCAGAGGATGGTGGAGCTCCCTGGTGCAGCGTAACCCGACTACCCTCCGCGTGAGGTGATTTTCTCTCCATTGTAGACGACGGGAGCTGAGGGACCTGCGAGAACTGAATCAGAGGACCCGGGGGTATTTTCCCGGCGGGGACTCTCCGATGCCTAAGTTAGCATTCTGATTACAGAGGGCTTGGAGAGAAAATGAGAGAGCTAGAGAGCGGGGGTTACCATCCTTTTTTCTCTCCCCT